AGTTCTGACTTATCTAACACACTGGAATGCAAGCTCTTAGAACTATGTCTTTTCATCCAATTCACCCAGCTATGTTTGATTCAGTTCTGTGTACATAATAGACCCTCAATAAACATCTTTGGCATTAAGAGCGAGAACTAACCCCTGCATTATCAGCATATTTGAACCCAAACCATATCAGGCTGTAAGGGCTATATTTTGACCCAAAATTTAGCCCCCAACCTGATGTAATAATGCCCCATAACATTACTATGTTCTGTATACTTGTATCAACACACAAACGTGCACAATTCACTGCCTCAACCTCTTTTTATACATTATTGAAGAATTCGTGAGAGCAAGAGGTTCTCAAAGTTCTCATTCACTCCTGATTTTTTGTCCCTTTTCACAGGACCTGTGGGTATATCATCTCTGACTGGTAGTATTTTAAATTTACCCAATGGTATTGAAATTTATCTGATAGCATTTTAAATGGATCTAATTTATTTAATTTACTTAATCTAATTTAATTAAACATCATCTCCACCTGATGTTATTTAACTTCACCTAATGGTATTTTAAATTTATCACAGTCTAGAAGTTAATCAGAATCAATAAAATTGGTTTAGGGCAGTGCTCCTCAATGTGTTGTCCCTGGACCAGCAACAGCATCATGATACTTGGGAGAAATGCAAATTCTCAGAATCAAACCCAAACCGACTGAATCAGAAACTGAGGGAGTGCCTGGCCGGCTTACATTTACACAAACCCTGCAGGCGAGTCAGACGCATGCTTGTTTGAGAACCACTGGTGAAGGGATTGAGTGAAACTGTTTCTGGACAAATAAACTGGTAACACAGATGGGAGATAAGAAATTTTTTGATGAAAATGAACTATCCCTGGGTTATGGTTTGCATAGATTTGCAGGAGACCAGCCGAGACAGCAGATGAATGTAGTGGCTGAGACCCAATTCTATGATTGGCCAAGGTACAAGATACGCATCTGTTTACTCTGGAACTAAGAGGATAGGGAATGTGTCATAATGTGACACTGTCAGCACACAGAGTTATTTTTAGAGCTGGGTTTTTGCTTCAGAAGTAGAAGAAGAAAAGGATTTAGAATACACTCAAAAGAATACTGTATATAAATGTCTGAGAATTGTGGGTTTTCCCTTCACAATGGGAAATTCAGAAATAAAAAGAGCCAAGTGATTGATGGCACAGTGGCTCACATAACAGTGGAGACAGCCAGCCTCACCTGCAGGTATTCAAGCATGTTAATCGGTGCCTAGGCGGCTCAGCAGCCTCACCTGATCTGAGATGGCTGCTGGTGGCACACACACACTCTCATGTGCCATAGGATTACTTAATTAACCTCTACAACACCAAAGGGCCAAGGCACCCCAGAGCCACTTTTTTGCTGCATAACTACTTCTTATCTTCATTAAGTCTAGTGACAGCTCTCCTAACAGTAGGAAATCATGCCTTAGCCTATGCTTGACAACTCATTGCTAAGCCAAGTTAAGCAAAATCTTTGGCTTTCCAAAAAATACAGTAGGGACAGGTAAAAGTTTAAAAACGCATTCTATACAGAGTGCTATTGGCTAAGTTCCTTAATCAAAGGATTTTTCGTGATTTCTTGGAGAATCAAATTGGCTGCGGAGATTTAGCTTTCTATTTCAGAGATTTGTAGGAGACATTCAGCAAGAAAGAGTAAGCATAAGAAGATGCAAGGAACTTGCAGGGAGACAAGAATTTTGCACCTACGTTTTAAAAAATCAAGGTGTAACTGAGTACGGTCAGGTCTACAGTTGGAAGTCGAAGCGGAGCTAAAATCACAAGTGGCTATATAGGCCAGGTGCGGTGGCTCAGGCTTATAATTCAAACACTTTGAGAGGCCAAGGTGGGAAGATCACTTGAGGCTAAGAGTTCAAGAACAGCCTGGGCGAAATAGAAAAACCATGTCTCTACAAAAAAGTAAATAAATTAATTTAATTAGCCAGGCATTGTGGCATAGCCCTGTAGTTCCAACTACCCAGGAGGCTGAGGCAGGAAGATCACTTGAGCTCAGCAGTTCAAGGTTATAGTGAGCCATGATCGCACCACTGCACCCAGCCTGGGCAACAGAGTAAGACCCTGTCTCTAAAATAAAGATGAAAAAGTAGCTATATAAAATTATGAATTATAAAGCATTGTAGAGAAAACTCTATGACTGTCAGAAAACTATTAAATATATTATGTTCTGCATCCAATGTAGATTCTATCTGGCACCAGACACTATAGAGAGTGACATTCATTGACAAGTAGCTTGACATAACTTCAGATCCTAGGGTTCCAGTGATTTTAGGAAGAATTGATTTTATAAAGTTCTCCTCCTTTCCTTTTTCCCAGTTCCACCTCAATTAAAATCTGGAAACCAAGAACAAATACATTTTCAGAAGGGGAAGAATCTCTTATCCTTGACAAAGCTACAGAAGAGCTATCAGTACAGTTAAGAACAGTATGAAATCCTGCCTCAGGTTCTCTGCCATCCCTTCTCACCTTGTGAATTCACAGTGATTTATCCAGTACACAAATATTCAGCCTCTCACAAGTGCTAGATAAATGCTGTGTTGTTAACTGGGGATACATTCAAGAAGTTTGCAATCAAATGCAGTCGACCAGACTTTCATGAGAATCACCTGAGGCACTTGTTAAACTACCAATATCCAGACCCCATGCCAAACCTTCTTAATCAGAATCTCTGTGGATGGAACCTTAGAATATGTGGGCCTCAGAGGCCACCGTAGGTATTGAAGCCCACTGATCTGTGTTAATGGGGAAAGTTTATCCCCCCTCCTTCAAATTAAGATGGCTTTGTCCTCAGCCAAGAGACTACTTCCATGGAGGGAAAGCTATATGCATGGTGGTTTCAAGTAAAGGCACCCACCACTTTGGCCTTGCACAAAGACATGCAGTTTTGGTAAAAGCAAATGAACCACTAGGGAAAGGTATAGACCACTTGGCCTTCAGCTATGGCTGGTGGACATGAGGGAGGTGTCATCAGAAGTGGCACGGTTTGCTGCAATTGTACTTAATGTGTGTGTTTGGGTGGATTGGAAGTTCCCATGACTCAGCAGAATATGAAACTGGAGGCAGAAATTTTGGGGCTTTAAGAATATTCAACTCAAGGGCAAAAGATATTTAGCTCTAATTTGACGTCTTTTGGACTTTAACATATCTGGGCTTGAAAAAATGTTAAGATTTAATTATTGAATTTTAATCTCTCCCTGGGAATTTGATAATGGGAGAGATTTTACATCAAACTTTGGCATATCTCTCTGTTGTTGGCATTTTATTATTAGATCTTGGCATCTCCTTGCAGATTGTCCAATATGTTATGTTGAACAACAGGGCTGGAAGGGAAAGAGGTGCAATTTATTGGGTCCTCTGTGTCCTCAACAGCCTTGTGGTATAACAGCAGAAACTTGCTAAAGGTTCATCAAGTGCTTGTTCTGACTGGGTGCCCTGGAAGTTAAATGACTGTACCCTAAATGGCAGTGGCAGGGGACTGGGACTAGAAAATTTAATAATGCAGTAGTTTTTCAAAACCAAATAGACTTACATCTGGGTCTTAAAAGGCATAGCCCAGACCAGGTGCAGTGGCTCATGCCTGTAATCTCAGCACACTGGGAGGCAGAGGTGGGTGGATCACAAGGTCAGGAGATCGAGACCATCCTGGCCAGCATGGTAAAACCCCATCTCTACTAAAAATGCAAAAATTAGCTGAGTATGATGGCGTGCACCTGTAGTCCCAGCTACTCAGGAGGCTGAGGCAGGAGAATCGCTTGAATCTGGGAGGTGGAGGTTGCAGTGAGCCGAGATCACGCCCCTGCACTCCAGCCTGGTAACAGAGGAAGATGCGGTCTAAGAAAAAAAAAAAAAAAGCGTTGCCCAGAAGCAATCATATACAGCATTTGGGAAGCCATATTTCAAAGATTCACTGACTCCTGTTGTCAGAGTAAGACCCAAGAATGGGATTGGGACCCAAAGAGTCCAATCAGTGGTTTTAAACTAAAGGTTCTTAAAATATAGAATGCAGAGCAACAACATCAGCACCACCTAGGTAGTCAGGTTACTCATTTCTGTGTCTAGTCAAGTCGTTGGTAGGATGTCAGAAAAACTCTCTCAGCATTGTGATCCAAAGGTGCAGGGCTAGAGGATACATTGCAACGTGAACATGTCCTAAGGCTATAATCTATGTTCAAACTACTTCAGTTAGCCTCAAGGGTCGGGCGGTCAAATCATGCCCACACAAATCAGAGGCCTTACTCAAACTCAGGCTTTAATAGTAACCTTAAGAATATAAGCAATCAAGATGCACAGCAAAGCGGGTAAGGGTGGGATGCCCTGTGTACCTGTTCAGGCCCTTCCTCCCCATATTAAACACATACTCTGGCCCAGAGGAATAATACATGGTGTCTCTAGATGAGGTTTTTGTATCACATCATACTTGGGGGAGTGTTTAGGTTATGAAAGTTGTAGACTTAACATAATCCCCTTTGGGAATCATGCCTCATAAATGTATACAGTCTATGTTAATTGACCTTAAGGAATCCTAAACTAGGGTTATCCAACTGAGAATATGCCTTCTTTAAAGACGCTCCTAGGCCAGGCGTGGTGGCTCACACCTGTAATCCCAGCACTTCGGGAGGCTGAGGCAGGCAGATCACCTAAGGTTGGGAGTTCAAGACCAGCCTGACCAACATGGAGAAACCCCGTCTCTACTGAAAATACAAAATTAGCTGGGCATGGTGGCACATGCCTGTAATCCCAGCTACTCAGGAGGCTGAGGCAGGAGAACCACTTGGACTTGGGAGGCGGAGGTTGTGGTGAGCCGAGATCAGGCCATTGCACTCCAGCCTGGGCAACAAGAGCAAAACTCCGTCTCAAAAAAAAAAACACAATGACAACAACAAAAACATTCCTATCCCAAATATCATTAGTCTACCAGGAGGTCCAGTTATCATCAGCATGCTTACAAGGAAATTAAACGAGGTCACTTGATTTCTTTTCTGGAAGTGTTCCCCCAGGAATCAGGAAAGATGTGGATCACAGGCTGGCTGCCTTATCTCTTTACTCCCCACCAAGACACTTCTGAAACAGAAAGGAAATATATTATTAACAATTATGCCAGCCAGGTGTGGTGGCTCACACCTGTAATCCCAGCACTTTAGAAGCCCAAGGTGGGCAAATCACTTGAGTTCAGGAGTTCAAGACCAGCCTGGGCAACATGGCAAAACCCCATCCCTAAGAAAAACACAAAAAAATTAGCCAGATGTGGTGGCATACTCCCCTCGTCCCAGCTACTTGAGATGCTGAAGTGGGAGAATCACCTGAGCCCAGGAGGTCAAGGCTGTGGTGAGCCATGATCACACCACAGCGCTGCAGCCCAGGTGATAGAGTGAGACCCTGTCTCAAAAACAAACAAACAAAAAATTATTCCAAGGCAGCAGTTGAAAATTGGGACTAGCCCAGATAAACCTAGATGTATTGCCATTGTCTTAGTTCATTAGGGCTGCTATAACAGAGTACCATAGACTGGGTGGCTTATAAACAGCAGAAATTTGTTTCTCACAGTTCTGAAGGCTGGGAGGTCCAAGATCAAGTCCCCAGCAGATTTGGTGTCTGGTGAGGGCCCACTTCCTGGTTCAAAGACCAGCACCTTCTCCTGGGTCCTCAAACGATGGAAGAATGAAGGCAGCTCTCTGGGATCTCCCCGTTTTTTTTTGGAGACAGAGTCTCGCTCTGTCGCCCAGGCTGGAGTGCAGTGGCACAATCTCCGTGTGCTGCAAGCTCCGCCTCCCGGGTTCTTGCCATTCTCCTGGCTCAGCCTCCTGAGTAGCTGGGACTACAGGCACCCGCCACCATGCCCACCTATTTTGTATTTTTAGTAGAGATGGGGTTTCACCATGTTAGCCAGGATGGTCTCGATCTCCTGACCTCTTGATCAGCCCACCTCGGCCTCCCACAGTGCTGGGATTATAAGCGTGAGCCACCGCACCCGGCCGGGATCTCCTCTAAAAGGGCACTAATCCCATTCACGAGGACTCCACCCTCATGACCTAATCACTTCCCAAAGGCACCACATCCTAATACCATCACACCGGACATAAGGTTTCAACATCTGAACTTGGGAGGGGACACAAACATTCAGACCCTGGCAGTCACCCTATCTATAGCGCCCAGCACTGGAAGTTTGTGGGTAATAGAGGAGAAATAAGGCTTGAAATTTAGGGAATCAGAAGGTAGTCTGTGAAAATTATTTTCATCATCAGACATCTAAAATTGTAACTGGAGGATTACAATTGTAACTGGAAAATTATTTTAATCTTCAGACATGTAAAATTGTAACTAGAGGATTCTTGTTGAAGCCTAGTCAAAACAAAAGTTCTTTTTCTGGCAGAAATATACTCAATAATGCATGACATATAATTATAAATGCACTCGACATTTTTTTCTTTTTTGATAGGAATTGCACAAAATAGAATTTATCATAACTCCTTTATCATAGGCCAAACTTCTATAGTTGTACTAAATGAGTTTGTCTGTGTGTGATATCACATGATTTATGCACTCCAAGCTCTAGTAAAAAAAAAAAAAAAAAAAAAAAAAAAACTTTGATCAGTCATGCCAGAGGAAGAACTAAATTATCTTTCTATTCTCACTGTAGAAATTGATATTACAAATTCATTGTCATGTAAAGAGGCAATCAAAGCATAGGCTGCCCCTAAGAAGAATAGAAAAAAAATACATAAACATATCCCAGAAAATACATTAATAAAAATATTACGTTGCTTTCTGAATTTTGCATTTTCTGTGATATTTCTCAGCTTTCTGAGCTTGTGACGCCTGTGATATTTCTCAGCTTTTTGAGCTTCCACCTGGTAAGGTAGGAAAAACAAAAGAAGTTGGGGAGTCGGACAGACTCCCCAGCTTTGAATCCTGGTCCTCCCACGTACTAACTGTGTGACTTTGGAGAAGCCCCTCTACCTTTTGGTACATTGGCTTCCTCATCTGTAAAATGGAGAGAATAAGAGTAGCCTGCATCATAGGGACATTATGAGGGTTAAATAAGTGAACACATTAATTGCTTAGAACATGGCCTTGTACAGAGTAGGGGCTCAATTAATGTTAACAATTAAGTGGGCAAGTGACCTCTCTTAACCTCTCTGAGCCTCCATTTCTACCCTTAAAAAATAAGGAAAATGATACCCATCTTACAGAAATGCAAAGATTAGAGGTCGAGTCACTGGGATTTAGTGAGTATCAATAAACAAGAATGGCCAGGCACAGTGGCTCACACCTGTAATCCCAGCATTTTGGGAGGCCAAAGTGGACAGATCACTTGAGATCAGGAGTTTGAGACCAGCATGGCCAATATGGTGAAAGCCTGTCTTTACTAAAAATACAAAATTTAGCTGGGCATGGTGGTGTGCATCTGTAATCCCAGCCTCCCTACTCAGGAGGCTGAGGCACAAGAATCCCTTGAACCTGGGAGGCAGAGTTTGCAGTAAGCCCAGATCACGCCACTGCACTCCAGCCTGGGTGACAAAGCAGTATCTGTCTCAAAAAAAAATTTTTTTTTTAAGTTTAAAAAAAAAAAACAAAAACAAGAATGACTGATATTCAAATAATAGGCTCCAGTGAGTCAACGAGTTTCTCCTCTCAGATCCTCAGTGACGGATCCTGCCCCACCTGAGTGGCGTTACCGAAAAGTGTGACACCAGCCGCCTGCTCCCAGCCTCCCTTCCTGTGACCCCTCACCCCCTCGCACTCCTGGTGGCTCTCTAAAAGTCTTTGGATATCATAGCTACCTTATTCACCTGGTGTTGAATGAAAGGACCTAACTAGCCTTAGGGCAACAGGATTTCTGCCTTTTTACATTTTATTTCTCTCATGGTTTTACTTTTTTCTCTCAATCTCTTTCAAGTTTGCAGTGTTTGGTTTATTACACTAGGTATGAAAAAAAAAAAAAAGATAAGTTGTTAATTGGAATGCTTGGGATCTTCCCATGCCTAGAAATTGAACCATACACTTGGGTCCCAAAAAGAAATGGGTATTGATTCCACTTTAACTGTCAGGGATGTTCTCTGACTTCCAACACGCCCTCCGTTCCCTTCCCCAGCAGCCAGAAAGCAGCATGTAGGTAATGCGGCCTGACTTACCTAATGGAATGGCTTGACGCCTTCATTTAGAAAGCAAAAGCACTTAACTAACACCCTGAAATGAGGTCATCTCAATGTTGTACTTGGAGGAAACTATGAAAAACTTGATTCTTTCACTGAGCTTCAACCTCTGGTGTCAGTTTAATCCATTCATTGATTTTTATTCATTTACAAACCATTAAGGCCCTGTGTGTTACTCTCATAGGCACTCCTCAGAAACAAGGCCAGAGAAGCTGAATTTTACTACCAAGTTTCTGAATTTAGAAGCTTGCTTGCTGAAAAGACACAGGATCCAAAATTAAAGAAGGGGTGGGGAGAGAGGGGAGGAAATGGCAGGGGGTGGACGTCAGCTCTGTGTCCTGTCGCCATCTATCTATCTACCTGAACAGAACACTGCCAGCTCTGAACCCCTCTTTAGGACTCTTGCCCAAGCAAAGGTTTTTTTGTTTTCAAATGAAACAGACCCTGATAGAACAACAACTCTCATGGGAGGAAAAATCACCATTATTATTCCAGGTAATTCCAAGGCAGCATCATCATATTGAACTATTTAATCTATACATCCAAATGAGAGAAGTTCATTGTTTCACCACTCTACTCAGTATGGCATATTTAAGGGTCGGGCCTGCTACCATACCACATGAAAAAGGCCCTGTGGCCGGGCGCGGTGGCTCACACCTGTAATCCCAGCACTTTGGGAGGCCAAGGCAGGCAGATCACAAGGTCAAGAGATCGAGACCATCATGTCTAACACGGTGAAACCCTGCCTCTACTAAAAAATACGAAAAATTAACCGGGCGTGGTGGCAGGCTCCTGTAGTCCCATCTACTTGGGAGGCTGAGGCAGGAGAATGGCATGAAGCCAGGAGGCGGAGCTTGCAGCGAGCTGAGATCGCACCACTGCACTCCAGCCTGGGCAACAGAGTGAGACTCTGTCTCAAAAAAAAAAAAAGAAAGAAAGAAAGAAAGAAAGAAAAAGAAAAGAAAACAGGCCCTGTGACCCCCTCTAGTTTCACAGGTCCCCAACCCCCGGGATGCAGACTGGTACTGGTCCATGACAGTTAGGAACTGGGCCACACAGCAGGAGGTGAGCAGCAGGCCAGCAAGCATTCCTGCCTGAGCTCCCCCTCCTGTCATATCGGGGTGGCATTAGTCATAGGACTGCAAACCCTGCTGGGAACTGTGCACTCCAGGGATCTAGGCTGCGGCTCCTCATGAGAATCTAATGCCTGATGATCTGAGGTGGAACAGTTTCGTCCCGAAATCATTCTCCCCACGATCTGTAGAAAAATTGTCTTCCATGAAACCTGTCTTTGGTGCCAAGAAAGTTAGGAACCGCCGCTAGTTGTTCCTGGACTCTGAGTTGAGCCCCTGGCCTCACCTCTTAGTTTGCCTCTCAACTTATTTCTTCCTGATTGTTGACATTGCTCTCAACTCACACATGGGTCCTGGTGTTCAACACCCCCACCAGCACTAACATATTCAAGGAAAAGCACCCAAAAGCCTGGTGCAAAAATAATACTAGAGTCGAATATCAGTTTTGTAAAAAATATAATTATAAATATGTGTGTATATATACACACATGTATATTTATTATTTGTGTGTGTATATATATATCACTCATATCTGTGTGTGTATATATATATATTTCCCTCTCAGGAAAATCCTCAGTAAATGGGCTTCTATGACTTATCTGGATCTGCAGACCACATTCCAGCGTTTGAAGCAGGCTTGGGATTATCCTTGGGGTTGTGTATGTGTGTGTGTATATATATACCATATAGTATATATATATAGTAGCATATATATCATATATATTATATATACACTATACAGTATATATATACTATATATACACACTATATATACTATATATACACTATAGATATATACTATATATATACTATACTATATACATGCAGTGTGTATATATACACACAGACATATATATACACACACACACACACACACAGTCAGCCAGATACGTAGGCATAAGAGCCTAAATATTAACTGAATCATGTAGTTTAGGTAATTTGTGTGTATTTATTATTTATTTCTGTGGTTTTTTTCAGAGTCTATTTCAGGCTGTCATCTCCAGGACACTGCCTATGCTATCAAAGTGATGCAAACTCCTGAACAGACATGGAATCTATCCGTTCCTGCCCAGGCTGTCCTGGAACTCTAGGACATCTAGACTCTAAGACACTTCACAAAGACACTTTTGATTCCAACTGCAACCCCAAGAACAATCCTAAATAATCTAGCCTAAAACCCTAGAATATACTCTGCAGATCCAAATAAGTCATAGACAGAAGCCCATTTACTAAGGATTTTTCTGAAAGGGAAAACTGGTGTCCTTCCTAAATGAATATAGTGGAATTGACCCATTGCCCATTGCTAGTGAGGAAAGTGCAGGACTGGCTTTAGAATCAAACGGACTCAGGTTAGACTGGGCTCTGCCACTCACCAGCTGTGTGACACTGAGTAAATTAATCTCTCTTGGCCTCCATTTTCTAACCCATGAAATGGGGATAAGTCCATCTACTTCATCAGGTTGTCATGAAGATGAATGAGATGAGGTTGCAAAGTGTTCAGCATGGTGCCTGGCTATGCAGTCGCTCAATCAATAGTACTGATCAATACTGAAGGCTACTGATACGATCTGGTCTTTGAGCTGTTTTACAGTGAAGCACAGGCGGAGCGCTGATCACCCCCTTGTGAAGGTCAGCTTTCTTTGGTAGGGATTAAAGGGGAGGTGTTGCCTACCTTCCTCCCGTGCTCTCTACTGGGAAGTGCTCCCTGCTCTGGTCACCACTCATGCTGTGGCTGGTCACTGCCTGGTGCTCCTGGACACAGGCTCTTCAAATAGGATGCCACTTCTTCTCCAGGGAAAAAGGCAGAAAGGGAAGTAGGCAGGGAGCATGTCCCTTTGCTGTGCTGCCTCTTCATTCTCTGCTTCACTTGGCATAAGGCTACAGGGGGATGTGTGTCACATGTCCCTAAAAGTCTGGGGTAGTTAAAGGGAGTTACTACACTGGAACAGACTCACAGCCATGTACTGAAGATGATGTTTCCCATAGCCTGGGGGAAAAGGACCCAGATAGGCAACTCACCTCAAGGAGGGGCACATTCCACTTCCTAACTCTGCTCTCCTGTCCTGAGGTCTGCCCTTCTCTCAAAAACACACCTTTTGGCTGGGTGTGGTGTTTCACACCTGTAATCTCAGCACTTTGGGAGGCCGAGGCGGGAGGATCACTTGAGGTCAGGAGTTTGAGACCAGCCCGGCCAACATGGCCAAAACCCATCTCTACTAAAAAATACAAAAATTAGCCAGGCATGGTGGCACACGCCTGTAATCCCAGCTACTCAGGAGGCTGAGGCACGAAAATTGCTTGAACCACTGAGGCAGAAGTTGCAGTGAGCCCAGATGGTTCCACTGCACTCCAGCCTGGGCAACAGCATGAGAATATGTCTTTAAAAAAAAAAAAGAAACCATGCCTTTCCTTCTGTTCCAGCTGCTCTCACGAAAGAAAGAAAGAAAGAAAGAAAGAAAGAAAGAAAGAAAGAAAGAAAAAGGAAGGAAGGAAGGAAGGAAGGAAGGAAGGAAGGAAGGAAGGAAGGAAGGGAGGAAGAAAGAAAGAAAGAAAGAAAGAAAGAAAGAAAGAAAAAAAGAAAGAAAGAAAGAAAGAAAGAAAGAAAGAAAGAAAGAAAGAAAGGAAAACACACCTTTCCTTTAACTTCTGCAGCACAGACAATGCTATCAGGTCTTGTTTCATTTTCCTTTTCCCAAGCACATGAGAAGACTCCATCTCGGCCTTCCATGCAGGCATTGTGAGGGCCATGGGGTTCTGGGCAATGGGATATGACTGGAACTGACATTTGCCACTTCCAGGCCTGGGCATAAATCCCCTGCAGGAAAGGAAATCCCCTCCCTCTCTTCTCTGACCGCAGTTCCTTGAAGGTGACATGTTCTAGGAGGCACTGCTACAAGATGGAGAGGTGCTGCCCACTCTACATCAGAGTTTGTGTTGTGAGCAAGGAGGAAACCCTCACAGTGCTACACCCCTGAGGTCCCAGGGCTATTTGTGACCACACCATAGCCTTAATTACCCAGACAAATATCACCTGAGACTAAGGCTCTTCATCAACCCTTCAAGAAACCCTGCCCTCAGGTGTTAGGCTTACTCCAAAATCTATATTATTCCTTCTAGCTGTACATTTTACTAAATCTGAATTATTCATCTTAAATAATGCCCCAAAGAGAAAAGTGAGACTTTGGCAGAATAATGAGTGGTGACTTCAGAACTTTAAGCTCCAGCAAGATAGAGGAAAACATTGGCATTCTATATCCAAACTCTCCATTTTTTTCTCACTTGTATGGATATGTTCACACATAATGCTCCCACACCATAATGCTACCCACAGGTAAATCACACACACACACACACACACACACACACACACACCCAAAGGACTAATAGTCTCAGACCAGGAGTCATAAACACGAACGTCTGAAGCAGCCATACAGAAAATGCCAGTATTGAAACAGACTGTGCACAAAGCTGTGGAAAACTGGCTGAGCCGTGCCTTGTCTGAAGGAAGCAGCTCTTTCCCCGTCTCCCCAGCCGTTACCGTGCAAGCTGCGGGTCAGTGTGGCCAGATCTTCCAATCCTTTAAAAAAAATTAATATCTAAGTTTCTATAGAAACTCTCCAAAGTTTTACAACGTGGCAACTATGTACTTCAAATAAAATTTTTTAAAAAGCTTTGCATGCCAAATACAACTGAGCTGCCTGGTAGGCATGCCCATGTTATGTAGGCCTACCGTTTTGCGTCATCTTCCCCAATCGTGTATGATTGATTTAGCTCCTGCCCTGTAGTTTGCAAGGCTGCCTCTCTCACAGGAAAGTGAATACCTAATTATGCAGGGTAATTGTTTTTCTTTATCACCTATCCTCTCCATCTGCAAATTCAAATTGCGCCCCCATGGCCACTGGAAATAAGAATCCAACCCATTGATAAGTCATATACATCTTACATTTTGACTGTGGCTCCCTTAGCTACACCCAGGCAGCCTCCAGCTTCTAGATTACCATATGCAAGGATTCCATTAAATTCTTAACCAGCACTGCCCTTGCTGCTGCCTCCGTGAGGCAAGGGAGCGCCATTAATGATGATGGCCTCACACCTCTCTCTCTCATCCAAATACTCCTATGAGCAACAGCCTACAAGTGTGAAATAATAGTCAGAAATTAGAACTGTGTTTTTGTGCCTGCACTACAATTTTTCTGAGAACAAAGCTAGCTAGCTTTTAGAAGGATCAAACAGAATTTGAAAATCACCCGACTTTATGTGCCAAGAGCTTTAAGAATATCAAACATTTCTTACCATTTGCAAGCAAATGGGTCAGAAGATTTTTCCGCGATTATCTCCTCCAGAAAAGAGCAGTTTGAAACCAGAGAAAATGGGTGTTACGAAGAAAAAAAAAAAAACTAAGAGAACAAGAAAGTCAGTCCCTGAGATATCTCAGAAATTGAGATGGAATAACTTTCTTCTACCACACATGTGAGCTCCAAAGCACAAGAGAGGTTGCATTTCAAGCAGAAAGCTCTTTTCAAAGCACAAATGTTGGAAAAACAGACCAAGACATCAGCGCATTCTAAACACAGCTGTGTTTGTCCACACCTACTCTTGCCAGGCTGTGTTTGATTTAACCTGGCAACCCAGGGGTGAAAGGCTGCCGCATCCAATTACTCAGTTTCCGAGGCCCCTGTCTCCCAGCATTGTTATTGTTGATGTTTGATAGAGTAAATTGACCCATTATTAAATGTTGCAACCAACAGAGAGGTTTTAATAACCTTTCGAAGTTTTGTATTAAATGTGTTTTTACAGGGCTGTAATTTGTATTCATCCCAGGGGGAAAAAAAAAAAAAAAGCCACTATTCTGGGTGCCGTGGGCTGCGCCTGCTGGGGTGAGTCTTACCACCACTCTGCTCCAGCCTCGGTTTAATGCATGAGTCACAGCTGTCTCTGGGATAACGTATTTATTAGCACTGGGGGGAAAAAAAGAAAGGAAAACAGGTTGTATGATTTGCCAATCAGTTGGGCTCTGCAAGTTGGAGAGTTCAGCAGGCTTTTTTGAGTGTTCTGGGTCACCTAGGAGTGAAGAGCCTACAGAAGTTGTCAGGAAAGTATAAAGCCCCAGGTTGTCATCAGGATAATGAGCCCGCGCCCTAGCTGGACTGGTTATCTCAGGCCTGCATCATAGGCAGAGGAAGTTTACAACAGAGAGCTTAAGGTGCAGTGTCAGCGTGTCCCTAGTTAGGGCCTGAGGGTACAACCGACTGAGCATCAGCATCCGATAGATAACAACAAAAGCCATTATCTCTCTCCCGGCTGGGCTGCCAAGTGCCCGGGCCAGGATTGCCTGGTGTTTGCAGTTTCCATAGCAGCACTGTTTTGTTCTAGCTGGCAAAGTACACGGAGAGGACGGATAAACATTGCAGGAAATGACACGAACAACCCAAGTACTGAGCCTAGAATCTCATGGCAGTCTCTGCCCTTTGTGAGTCAGCGGCGGAGGCGAGGACGGACACATTTCAGGAGATGCCTGGAAACTAACAGCGCCTTCAATCACAGCACCTGGCTAAACCCAGCCATCCCTCCAAGACTAGAGCTCTGGGTCTCTACTCCGTTTCCCAGAGCGTTGGAAACACATGCAGTGCATTCGGAACGCCGATAAAATGTGGAGAGAGCCCCTGCACAGGCAAAGTGAGGGGTGGGAGTGAGGTGCTGCTGTTCTCAGCTGCCCAGAACTCACTGAAGCCCTGGCTTGTCTTCCACCTCAGTGCTGCACGGATACAGAGGGGTCTCTGAAGTGCGGGTCACTGATTTGGAACATAAGGCTCCATGCCTGTGTGTTTATACCTGCAGGGCGCCAACACCTCCACCCCTTGCACTGGAGACTGCTAGGGAGGGTTTGAAATTGGGGGCGATACATTGTTCAGATCCATTATTTGCTGGGCGTATAGCTACTACTCGCTACTAAATAAGAGAAAAGAAGACCTGGTCCCAGCCTTATGTATTAATCACGAAGTATGTAATAGGTCTAATTTGCTTTAATTTCAGTTTTCATCTATTGGATAGAAACTGAACTAGTTGTCTCAGAATAGGAAGCAGAGTTCTCGGCCACTAAGGAAGCCCAGCAATTTCTTGATATTATAATATCAAAGCACCTCAATGGTGTTTTCAGTGTTAAAGAAATAAATCATCTAATTTAAAGATTCTTAATTATTTTCATGCCATCCTCTCACTGTCATCATTGTCTCAAGCTGACACATGGGAGAAATGGAAGGTAACATTAAGTTTTATGTTTGCCAAAGGTCATAAATGTCAAATTAAGGGTGAGAGGTCACAAACTCATCCACAAGTCTAGATGATATTTCTTGTTCCCAACCCTGTGTAAACACAGAGGGTTTAATGCAAATACATTGGCCACCTCCGTCCTCCCTCTTCTGGGATGTGGTTGCTATAATATTACTTCTCTTTTATGGATTAAGCTAAACGTACCCTGTGTAACCTAAAGGCTTCCCTGGCTGAATATCAGTGCCTTTGGGCTTTCAGCTTAATGGGACTAAATGTCTTTCTTTTAGGTAAGCCAAAAAATATTACGGTCTCAGCTAGACCTAAATGACAAAATGGGTAGGAGATTACATCTAGAATGGAGGGAGTTAAGGGAAATCCACATATTTAAACCTGCACAGTAAACAAAGGGCAAGTGTACTAAGAACCGGTCTTAGCAATGATTAAAAAACCAGATTTCACTGGTCTTTGTTTCTCTAGAATCATAGCCAGTCGCCAGGCATATTGTAAGTCCTCATAATTATTTGTTGAATTAATGATCCTCTCAGGGCTCCAGCAGCAGAATGGAAAGAAGCATCTGGAGTGTGGTGGAAAGCACCTGAGACTCAGGCTGCTCAGCCTCTGGTCCACTCCTCCTGAATCCTGGTGGGGAGCACAGCCTCCAGGGGCCCTTGGTTTCATGGTCGCTATCCTGCTGCTACCTGACTGATGCTGGAAACCAAGGTAGGTCAGGCCTTGAGGTGGAAGTGAGGCAACAGTTTCTGCCCTTGTTTTCCACGACTAGGTAAGAACTTATTCTTCCTAGTTAAGGGTTAAAAGCAAGAACTCTAAAAACTTATCTCCCTGCAGTCTCTCGGGAAACAAATATGTCACCATCCACGTCATCTCATGTTCATGGCAGCCCTCTGTTTGACTTTAGACAAAGCACTCCCAAGACTGAGCTGGTGGGAGAAAAAACAAACAAACAAACATCAAAACAAAGCAAAAAACCCCTGCCATCTAGGTCCTTATACTTTGATATTAATCATAGTTTAAAGAGCATTTAGTAACTGCCATGCACTGTGCTAAGCATGTTCCTAACATCTGATTTATTCTTCACTCCTGTAAATGGACAGAGCTCAGAGAGGTGACATAGCTTGCCCTGGGTCACACAGCTAGCAAGTGATGGAGCTGAAATTGGAATCCAGGTTTGACTGACTCAAAATTCCAGGCATGCTCTTTACCATTACAGCAAGCTGTCCCCGCCAGCCTACGGCAAGAGACAGCACACGCACTACGTAAATGATAAAGGAGCCTACAGTGTTTCATCCACCACTTCCCAGACAGGCAAGAGGGAAACGCATTTGAAAGGCTCAGAATTTTTTAAAAATTTTTTGAATAGGTAAAACATTTACAGGTGTCAAAAAAATCAAACAGTCTGCAGAGGTTCAGAGTGAAACATCTTATTCCCATCCTGTCCTCCACCAGCTCTCTATCCTCTTTATTGGATTTGTAAGGTATCCTTCAGAGTTCCTTTATGCAAATACACACACATGTGAACATACATATTTTTCTTTCTTGTTTTTCACAAAAGGCAATGCACTCTACATACTGTTCTGCACCTTGGGCTTTTCTTTTTCCATTTGCCATTTCATTTAACCAAAGACTTGTCAGCCTTTCCATACCAATGCATACAGACCTTCCTTTTTTGTTTTTCTTCTTTTTTGTCTTTTTTTTTGAGACAGAGTCTCGCTCTGTCACCCAGGCTGGAGTGCAGTGGTGCGATCTCGGCTCACTGCAACCTCCACCTCCTGGGTTCAAACGATTATCCTGCCTCACCCTCCCAAGTAGCTGGGACTACAGGCACCCGCCACCATGCCGGGCTAATTTTTTGTATTGCAATAGAGTATAGCTTAGCATTTCACTGTAATTTATTTAAGCAGTTCCATATTAATGAACAATTGAATTGCTTCTGATCTCTTCTACTAAAAATAATGGTACAATGAATAACTTTGAACATATACCATTTGACATGTGTGCCAGTATATATCTGTATGGTAAAATCCTAAAAGTGGATTGCTAGATCAAAAGATGTACGTGTTTGTGGCCAGACAGGGTGGTTCACACCTGTAATCCCAGCACTTTCAGGGGCCGAGGCAGGCAAATCGTGTGAGCCCAAGAGTTTGAGACCAGCCTGGGCAACACAGTGAGACTCTATCTCTACAAAAAACAAAAAAACTAGCCAGGAGTGCTGGCATGCACCTTTAGTCCCAGGTACTTGGGAGGCTGAGGCAGAAGGATTGCTTGAGCCCGGGAGGTTGAAGCTACAGTGAGCCGTGATCCTGCCACTGCATTCCAGCCTGGGTGACAGAGTAAGACCCCCCTCTCTAAATAAATAAATAAATAAGTGTTTGCAATTTAAACAGGTATTGCTAATACCCTTCTGTCTAGTGTCTCACAAGGACACAATCAAGGCTTCAGCTTAGGCTATGGCAATACCTATTTAAATTGCAAAAACAAGGTGTTTTGTTTTTTGGGTTTTTTGGTTTCGATGTTTTAGGGAGAGTATTTGAGAAGTTATGTGTAATCCTTGTTTTCAAAAGGCACATCATCTAATTAGGAAAGGCCTGAAATCCACGCATGACGTGGAAGGATCAAAATTGGAGGCAAACATCCTAACTTTGCTAAGGGATTGGCTAAAAATAGGAACAATACTAATTCACCAAAACTATTCATTATTTGTTCATCCATCAACATTCTTATTACATTTTTATTTCAGAGGTAGAAAAACAAGGATGGACTAGAGTGAATGAAGGTTGAGTGGACATTGATTTCTGTTTGGGGATCTATGTGGCTCTAGGGGAGCTGATTCTATCCCAGGAATGGAGCCCCAGAGATTTTCTACACCAGTCAGCACTTTCCATTCCCCTGATCAAAATGCTGGGCTCAGAGGTGAGCACTGTAGGCTAAGCAGGCCCATCAGTGTGATTCTCAGGGTTTTGCTTGGAACTTTAGGATAAAAGTATTTTCTCTTCCTTTGGAAAGTCTGAAATAAAATCATTTTTGTTACCATGAGGAGAGTGAGAGGGAAATAAAACTTTTTAAATTAAAGAAACCCCTAGCTAGCATCCTGATGATTTTGTGTACCTTTGGATCAACCTCACATGAAGCCCAGTTTACCGATAAACAATGCAGTGGCATGAGCCAGTAATATTCCTTTATCACTCGAGAGAATGTCTGTGACTCGATATGGGCCAGGTGCAATGGCTCATGCCTATAATCCCAGTACTTTGGATTTTTTTTTTTTTTTTAGGTTTTTTGTTATTGTTGGGAGTGTTAGTATTTTTAGT